AACGACCCACAACGGGGTCCAAATTGTGCTGATGATGCCTCGTACGCCAGCATTATCAGCACAATTGGAACCCCATTTGGCTTAACTGGGAGCAGGGATCAAAAACTCAAGAAAAGCAACCAAAAACGGCTTTGAACGTTGTTGATTGCGCAGGCTGACCATGGTTTAGCCCACAAGTACATGTTGTGCACATCAGAAGCAACATGTTTAAGTATTTGAAAAAGTAAAGTGGCGCAACATCTCAAAATCCTAGCTTAGGAGCCACAGACTTGCTGGAAATATAGGCAAAACACATCAAACATATGCAGTTTGCACAGCTTATAGGGTTTGACAAGCAGGAGACAAGTTTGGTGTGCCATGCCCAGGCCGAACCCTTTAAACCGTGCACACTGCATATGTTTGGTATGTTTTGCCTATATTTCCAGCAAGTTTGTGGCTCCTAAGATTTTGAGATGTTGCGCCACTTTACTTTTTCAAAACTTAAACATGTTGCTTCTGATGTGAAAAAAATGTACTTGTGGGCTAAACCAGGGTCAGCTTGCGCAATCAACAATGTTCAAAACCGTTTTTGGTTGCGTTTGACCCCGCCTGCTCCCAGTTAAGCCAAATAGGGGTTCCAATTGTGCTGATAATGCTGGCGTACAGGGCGCGCTCGCCTCGTACAGGAGCATCATCAGCACAATTGGGACCCCGTTGTGGATCCTGTTCAAATAAACTAGAGAACAAGACCTTCCAAACCTAAAAAACCATTCCAGCTGGCACGAACTTCATTTTGCGAACACTTCTCCCATCTTCTCCCTATCGAGAGCATCAGCAGCAGCAGGGCAGAGGAGGGCTTGGTTTTCACATGATGACTGGTTGGGCGGGGGGCGGCGGCCAGGCTGGCACTTGCCGCCAGGCCCGAAATATGAACGAACTATATATTTGGTCATTATAGACTCAGCTTTCATGCATGGTGGCTGTTGGCTTTCGGGCGCAACGCACATTCACGTCATTGAAGTGCGTATACGTGTGTCACATATTGGGCTCCACGCTGCATGCTTAGCGCGGTCTTCATCATTTTGTTTTTTCGCGGTTGGTGCTCCGTCTGACCGGATTTTCGTATTCCGTCCTTGGTTGTTTTGAGGGGCATGGGAGGATCCCGGGGCTATTGATCTTTTGGCAATGCAGTTGCTTTGAAGCTACGTGCTGTTTTGTCCAGCTCGTTTTGAGAGGGCTTGAGTCGAGCATTCTACAGGCATCCTATGCCACGGAGTACATTCTATGATTGTACAAGCATGTGCAAGTGCGGGTCACGCGGCACAGCAACTTTTCAGCGCTCCGCCAACATGGGTGTTTTGGAAGAGGGGGGCGGGAGGATGCAAGCTTGTTGAGGCGAGCGGAGACTCTCAAAAACCGCTACAGGCTTGGGGGCGAGAAACAATCAGCAGCAGTGCTGATGTTGCTGGAAAGTCCATTTCCATCCAGCCAAGTTTTCTGACAGTACAAGTGCCGGACTGGACCCAGCCGTATCCCTAAATCGCTCTTCTGGTGCAGTCTGGCTGCAGAAGGACAATGAGACTTGCCCTGAGTTGACGGGTTCCTATCCACACGTCTCGTCCATACTCTTCCTGTCAGGCAACAAAGCTGGAATCTCGTAAGTGCGTTAATACTCATGAGAACAAGAAAGCTATCGGTGCCTGTCCTCCGGCAGTTGTCACCCTGTGTCACATCACCATGACTGACACCTGCCGGAGCTCCCGGCCATACTCACTGTCACGACCCTTCGTCCTTGCTGGACCTGTTGCCAAAATTTTTGACCTCTGCCTGACATTTTGAAGGTTGGAGTTTGGAGGGACATGTGGAGGCTTTCAATCGGGAGACATTTTGTGGAAAGTGGACAAGGCAGTGGCAGCATCGACCCAGCCAGGTGGGCCCAGGTGACCGCGGGAGATGGTTCCTGATTATTGCCAGACAGCAGTGCGAACCTTGAACATTTCACGTTGTGAGGTTAGACTCGGTTAGACAGCGAGCCGAAGCTTAACACAAGCGCCACCAAGCGGTTGTGCTATTTGTTCTGTCCTCTCCAACTGGGCCTTATGTCCTGCGACATTATCGCGGAAATATTGCCGGCAGCTGGAACAGGCACTATCAGACTGGCAGCATAGGAGTCGCCTATGAAGTCCCTTAACCTCAAACATCCAGCCGAACTAAAATTACGATCTAAGACTTCAGCCGTGGACCCTTGACGTTAATCTCTAACTCCAGTCTTCGACCCGCCACGGCCCAAAGGTCAACCCTGAAATCCATGCACGCAAATTCTGCAGATTACAACAAGTAAACCCGGAACCTTGCATCTTGAGCTACCCATCCAACTCCAGTCCCAAACCTCACACCCTGTGGAAAATTTGGTGTTGACGTGCCGCTGGCTTCCCCTAGTATGGAGACAGACAAGGGGCGGTTCCATAGCACCAGATGTTCTTCTCAAGCGATTTTCAAGTGTTTTCGATATCATGATATGTCTACGGCGCCCCTTCTGTTATCACACCAGATCCGCAACAATTTCGCCC